GGTGTCATAATGGGGCTACATATAAAGTGGTTCAACCTCTGAGACGACGACGACGACGACAAACCTGGGGTTATAAATGGGTAAGGCAGCATCTGCCTCTGGCTCCCCGCAGTCACGCAGCAGTCCTGCTCAGTTGACGCGAGGGAGACAAGCCCAGCTTGCATCGATCGTTGTGAAATGAGACGCCGGAACGTAAGGGTTGGCCCACTTTGGTGGCACAGGTGTCCTTGATCCCCGACCCCTGAATCCACGTCAGCTCGTTGCCCAAGAACACCTGCCCTCCCGCCCGGCCTCGGAGCAATTAGTTTAGGAAGAGGGAGAGAGAGACAGAGAGAGAGTTTAGGGCGAGCCCGATTCGGACACAGCCTGTTTGCCGTGGCTTAAGTGCGACTGATTTGTTGCATTCGATTCGCGCGGACCCTATTGCAAGCACCATCAACACCTGCCAGTGGCAGTAAACGGGTTGTTGTGAAAATACCACTAGAACTGCGACCCCCCCAAAACACACAAACTGTGTGTTTTGGGGGAAGGGGGGGGGGAGGCGGTTTATGGCATCGCTAAATTTCAATTTGTGGTGGGGTGTATAGGAGAGAGGGAAAAAAAGGATCATGGCACACGTGAATGCCATTACGTGGCTTTAATCACCAAACCCATATCTCTATCGGCTCCTAATAACATTTCATTTCTCGGCGGCGCATTCGGGGTCCACGGCTAATTAGGTTGTCAAAGCAATTGTCGTGCCTGTCCAGTGATGAAAAGGCTCTGACGGCACCGCCCCGTCATTGCAGCTGTATCTGTGATTGTCGAGCTATCATACCAAACAAAAAGAAATCCAAAAAACCCAGGCTATAATTACGGCAGAACTATCCCGCTGACCAAATGCCATTAGCGCTTCAAAAGGGTGGCATTTTGTTGTAGATGCTGGACGGAGAGGCTTTAAGAGCAATGTGTATATCAAACCCCGTCAAAAGGGCACAAATATGCAGCTGCCAGCTACAAGTGATTATCCCCGCGCACTATCTTCAGCCAAACAGCGGCCACGTATAATGCGGTTTTGTCACCCAGAATTCACCCTTGAAAAGAGAAAATATATTTTTCAATTCACGAGGCAGTGCTATAACGACAACGGTGGTAAATTATTCCGTGGGCCGGGATCTAAGCATGCTGTTAAAGATGTGGCCTGCGAGATATATTTGTGCATACAGTATAAATCCAACACGTTGTTTAAGCTGGCCCTTGAAAAAGAAAACAAATCATAACAAAATCGATCGGAGTGAGTGATTCAGCATGAAATAAGGTACTTTAAGAATACCTTAAATCCCCTTGTGATGCCGCTGATTATGTGTATGTATAGCACGCGGTCCCAATAGATCATATTATGGGTTGAAGAGCATTATACATTGACAAATGTTACATAAATTCCCCAAGTGACTACAATACATTGCTTAGAATGGAGAGGGCTGAGCTGGCACTGCGGGAATATGTAAACAATATTATTTCACAACTGATAACCGAATGTGAAATGGTCAAGCCTTGGTTTAAATGTCCACTTTTAAACGGTGATCTTTATCTACCTATTTGTCCAAGGAATTAATTTCGAAGATGCCCCTCCTACCTGGGGATATGACTATGAAACGTAGGTTGCTGATGGGAGAAACAATGACAATTGGAGCCGCAGCAGTGAGCATGTGGCCGCATGTTGATGGATGTTACCTTGAAGCATAGAATTGTTTGCTGCTCGCTTTCCCAATAAACATCCAGAAGGGTTCCTCCTCCCCTTTGCCTCATCTCCTGGCGCCTAGCACCGCGGGCTGTGTATTCCCAAAATCCTGGTGGTGTATTCCCAGAGCTGCGAAATTAATGTATAAAACATCTGCCTCTCGGTTGCAATATATTATTAAAATGATACGGCACGCGTCTGTATCTCATTAAACTTAAAGCGTGCATTTGGGCATTGAGTGTAACGCGAGTTGAAAGTATTATTTTTGTCTTGTCACCAAAAAAAAACACAAAAAAATGTGATTGTTTATTAATGTGATAACTTCACGCACGTTCGCTAGACTTAAGTGGACACTGCCTATGAATTGTGGTGTGTGTGCTTCAGACAAATCTTACACAAGTAGATTAAATGTATAGTATGTGTGATCAATTAACGTATGCTGAGTCTCTCTCGTGCGCGTTCGTGACTGTGGAAGAATGCCCTAAGTCACGAACAACACCAGTGGGATGTGAACCGGACCTCGCCTAGACCAACTCAGTCTAAAATATAATTGGGCACGGCGCGTCGACACGAGCGGTAGAAGGCTATGTGAGAGTGGTGCTGTCCACACCATCCACCCACATACATCCACCGTGACCCGTGATAACCTTTACAGGTGGACCGTCAAATTATTGGGTCATCAGGAAAAAGGGGGTGTTCGTCAACTTTATTTCCCCCCTCCACTCCCAAAGTGCGACTCAGTGACTGAATGAGAAATCTCTGTCGGCCAATTGACTGCCACTTGGTCGCCGAAGAAATGATCGATTCCAAAGATTTCTAAATGTCTCTGGAACGGACTCTATCACCTCCCACGCACCACCACCCACAACGCGCGCACTTCGACACAGAGTGGACGTGGGCTAGGAAGCGCCCACAAAAAGGGGGTCGAATACCCCCAACAGCATCCGGCCCCCCAAAAAAACCCCAGGGACACTCTCTCTCTCTCTCTCCCTTATCCATTAGCACATCACGTCGTGACTTTAACGTGCGCCCCAAAGTGTCAATACACACAGCCTAAATATAGCGTACTTGCTCGCCCGCTCAATAAACAAAAGCGTAAAGTTTTGTGCGCGCGGGGCTTTTGGCTGGGTTGAATGCGTCTTTTCTTTGTGCTTAAATGAAGAATGGCGGTACAAGGCACGGCGCGCATATGCACAACTGATTTAATTACGCGCCGCGAGACATTTGTTTGCAAGCGTGGTCTATCTGTCTGCCTGCCTGCGTTGTTGCCGAATGAATTTATATAAAAATGATGAGTTGGTGGCGCAATGATTAGCACACTGCACTATGAACCAGACGAATCCTGAGTTCTATTCCTGACACCACGGCTAAACATTCAGTAACTGGGTTTGATGTCTAAACGAATATCTGGGTTTTCACCACTTCCCCAGCCCTCCCTAACCATCGTGAAGTACAATCAAACACCTCCACCTTCCCCATGACCGGCTGTGCTTGAGTTAGCGTTCATCCAGCTGTGGATTGACAAAGGGCTGTAATTTGCTCATCCATTTAAATGATGTCCTTCGCGGTGAAGGAACTGTGTGCTGGCGAGCTTCTCGGATGTTTTATTCGTATATCCCCCCTACCCCCACCCCCCGTTTTTATTTTATAATTAATGCATACTTCAAACTTAATCGAGCGGAGTCTTCAAGTCATAAATTTAAAATCACGGCTGTAAAATAGAGTTTTTCCAAGGCGGCTGTGTGAGAGAGAATTAAAAAAAACCCCGCAGTATAACCCCAATAGGGGCTGCGAGATTCGGATTACAGATCGGCTACTACAAGGCAGAACTCATCATCACCGGCATCAGCCATGCGCAATCCACTGCTGGATGAAGGCCTCATCGCGCCCCCAGCACCTCGCACGGTCCCGCTGTTGTAACGGCAGACAGGACCAGCGACCATATACTGTCTTGGTAAATGTACATTCTCTGCTACGGGATCCAAGCCGCACTGATCAGCGTGGTGACGTTATGGCCAAACAATTCCCATGAGCCAACAAGGCAGCATGTATGTGCGTATGTTGAACTTCTTTCGCGCCGTACGTAGCCAACCGTGCTAATGGAAGCATGGGTGGAGGAGTGAGGCCTTCATCCAGAGTATGGATTAACAAAATAATATTTATCGGATGCGAACTCAAAATGTGACAAACACAAATTGGCTTGGAGCTGTAGTCGGACTCGTTTAAGATTTAAGGGGGTCCAGGCTTCACATTCGTACTTTAATTCTAGAGTTGATCCCAACTAATATATTATTATTACATCAAATCTTAGTCGTGGCCAAGCCAATCTACGGAGCATCCTCCGGCTTCCAAACCCCATCGTTGTTTTGTACGCGCGATTCCACTGGTGTGCTTCTTGAGCAAATATTCCTTCCCTTCGCTGCGCAATGCACGGGGTGAGTAACGGACTCCCGACGATTTTGGGCACCAGAACAAGCCCACATGTGGTTTGCTTACAGCGCCGTCCGCCACGAGCCAGCATTCCTTGCGCTGATAAACAGTCACGAAACCCACCAGCCCCAAGCTTCCCTTCCGCTCTGCCTCTGCTCTGTGCAATGTGGACATCGAGCCGTTTGCGGAGACGGGTGAGACACAACGCAGTGAGCACACACAAAGAGTATACAGTACATATGACACACGTATGTTCGACGTCCGTTGGGTGGTACCGTATGTACTCTCTACTCACTGCCGTACGGCATTATGTATTCATTTTTTGTCAAGCCACTGCTAGATGAAGACCTCGACACGAACACGTTCGTGTCGCTGGTGGAGATTGCTTGACCACACGTTCACGCTGGGCTGGTCAGTTGCGGAGATTCTGGTAGGGCCGGTTCAGATATCGTCTCGCCACTGCGTGTCCGTGGACAGGAATCGAACTCAGGTCGCAGGGATTTTCAGAGCGTGGCACGCTACCCACTGCACCACCGCTCCCCACCAATGTGTATTTATCATGTATACGACATCGTAATACCGCTTTCATGACACTTGTAGGGGTATGCTCCGGTGTGTGTGTGTGTGCGCGCGCGCTTTGTGTTGAATCTGGTCCAGTTTGCGTAATCTATAACCAACGTGCAATGATCGCATTTCAGAGTTTGTGTCCTCTCTTCAATAAGCAAGTGTCAAAATAAACACGGGCGCGAGGCGCAGAGAAACCCCCGCAAGTACGCCGGACTCCAATGAAAGGAATCAAACGAAAAGACAAAAAAAAAGTTGAATGTTGTTTAAATCTCTCTCCCCTTACCGTGCGAAGCGATCCATGAAGCCGCGATGGTCCACAGAAAGAGGCGACTCGACACCATAGCGCTGGACTCTAGGCAGGTGACAGAGTTCCGACGTGGGTGCTAGTCCCTCAAAGTCCAAATCTTCTCGCTTTCGCTCTCCCTCTCTCACCCTCTCTTCTCTCTTAGCCCCCCCCCCACCTACACTCCCTTCACAACCCCAGCACTCCACCGGGCACCCCCAACGCCCTGTAGGGTTCTCCTCTGTTACTCTCCCTTCACCCTCACTAAATCTTTCACTCCAGTACCTATACACGCGCGCGCCCGGCCGCGCGCGCGCCACAAAACCCGTGGGTTATCTCTCGATTTCTTGTTTGCTCCACGTCTCCGTCTTCTCTCTTCGTCTTTCCCAATCACGCACACGAACACTCTCTCTCTCTCTCTTCTCAAGCTCGCTGGCTTCCCCCTCTCCCACCACCACTCCCCCCCCCCCTTTTTCTTTCGCTCCCTCCTCTTTTTCTCTGTCCCTCCTCCACGTATTACCAAACATAAAGAAGGGGGTGCCCCGCGTGCGCTCTTTGGAGTTTTGGGCTGCCTCTGACCGTTAGCGGCTCATGCGCTTAGCTGTGACTGCGCGGCCGTGATTGGCAGCGCCGTTGGACCCGCCTCCTCGTGGTGTATGGGTGGTGTACAAGGGGCGATTGCGGGGCGGGGGGGGGTGAAGAGAGAAGAAGGGCCGCGTGGTTATTGTTGGGAGCCCCCCTCTCTGCCCACCCACCCCACCCCCCCTCTCTCATGCGTGCGTGCCGCTTCCAACGATCAACACGCTGGACTCGCAATACAGAGGCTGGAGACCGCCAGTTTTCTTTTTTTTCGATCTCCCGGAGTGGCATTTTGAACAAGGCCGTAATTCTAATATGTATATTGGGGGGATCCCCCCCCACATTAAAATATGCTCTAACTGTCCCCCCCCCCAATATATTGCTATAAATAAAAAAAACACATTGCGATGCAAATAAAAATAACAATTTGCTAAACCTTGGCCACACTATCTGGACTTGTCTTCATATGACAATGCATAGATTTCTGTTTATATGATTGTGGTTGTACTTTATTAATCCCAAATCTCTGCCATTATATACAATGAAACAAGAAAAGGTAAAAAAACAGAGCAATGTAATACAATACACTATGAGACATTATTGTAAAAAAAGACATTAAAAGTCCATCCCATGTGTTAGTGAATTTTTCAATATTTTAGGCAGGAAATGGCAGGAAATGAGTTTTCAAATTTATATATGTTTTTTTTTTCTGCGGGAGACCCCCAGACCCCCTGGAAGATTTGGTACCCCCCCAATGTTGACTCAATGGCTACGGCCTTGATTTTGAAACGGGCGTTTTTTCACGATTCACGCCGTCTCTGCCCGTCTCACCCAAGCAGTTTCTACATTATTGTTGCGTGTGGCGGCAATACGTTCAGGGGTTAAATGGCAATGTCGAGGTCTACTAGTCACGACGAGAGACGGCTTCGGGAGAGAGCGCGAGAGAGAGTTTTTGCTGTTTCTCCATCCAGAATAAGAAATTTACACGAGAGGAATCCCATGATCTATAAAGCTCTTTATCACAGTTGTCCAGGAGGATTAAAGCGGCGCGCGGACTGCAGTGGCACCCAAGCAGTCGAATGGCAGGTTGATCGAGCGTGATGGTAGGGTAAAGTGTGGGTCCTCTCCAACCTCTTGCGAGACGCCTGGGACCAGCTGGCAGAGAGTAGGACGAATACCCGCTCGAGCCGGCCCTCTGTAGAGCACACGGCCAGTTATGTGGAGCCCCCTTCGGTTCAAAGCAGTGGCACGAGCAAGCCATTACCGGGCGGCATCTCTATAATTTTACCCTGCGTCAACGACCACTGTGGAATAAGCGCAGCACCCCCCCACCCCCTATCGTACGAGCGGGCGAGTTAGGGGGTGTGGTGTGGGTGGGGTGTGGAGGTTCGCTCCAAGTTGCAGGCTTGCTGCTCTGGATCCGGGCACGGCACGTGTTTTCACTTCCCCCTCTGCGATGTCTGACCGACGAAGCAGTCCACGGGGGATGTTTTCACGTGGACGGAGGAATTAAGCCACGTGAAGTCGAGCAAAGGGCCGCGGGGGAGGAAAAAAACCACACACACATACGCAATTCATACATTATACACAAGTAAATAAGTGGATAATAAAATAATAAATACTCAGTTAAATTAATAGGGTTCAGATCCGCGATGAATAAATGATGATGATGATGATTATTTGTCGACTGCGCTACATTTTATATATAGAGAGAGAGAAATGCTCGGAAGTTGTGAGCCGTTTAGATTTCCATTACTGCCCTTTGTAAAATATACTGGCTTGAGTGGTGAGCGGTACTGAGTTCGGAAGCCGCGTGGCAACCTGAGCTCGATTCCTGGACCACGGCGAACTAATGTTGGTGGTGAGTGACGTCTCAATCGGTCCTCCCGTCACCTCTGATTTCCCCTCACCAAGCCGCACCGACAAAGCGTGTTGAAGTATGGTCAAACAACAAACATGATCGGCACGGTGCCAGGAGGCTTTAATCCAGCAGTGGGCTGTAAATTTGTATGGTTTCACAGCAACATGAATGAGATGTTATGCGAAACGCATACGTTACATTTTGGACGTGAATATAATTAGTTACGATATTAACAGATCACGTGTGATCAAATATTTAGTGCGCGTCGGATGGTCTCTCTGGTGTGCGGTCAACGCGTTCATTCACGCAATGTCCATCTCTTTATGAAGTCCACTGCTGGATGAAAGACCTCTCTCCCCACGACTTCAGTCACGGGGGATGGTTTAACATTCTTTAACCGAGCTGGGTCAGTGCCAGTTGGTACAGCGGGGTGACCACGACTAGTTCAGATATCACTCGCCACCAATGTTAACCATGACTGGAATCCGCTGGGTGTATAGTGGAATGCGCCAATCACTGTGCCACCACTACACGTACGACAGGTAGCTTGCAAATACGTGAACTTAGTTGAGTTCGTAATTATATTGCTTAATTTTACGCAGTCGAAATAAGTACGTAGCAACAATCACACTAACATAGCCACGACAAAGTCATTCAGGTGAAATGTCAATACTTTCCCTCCAATAAGAATTAGTTTTAGTTTGCTTTTCTTTAAAAAAAAGAATACGTTGCTCTTTAATTACCCTGTGTAACCTTGCATCGACCGCACTGGGTAGCAACTATTTAAACAGACACGTGTGCACTGTGTATATGGGAACGATTAAGTCCAATTTCAAATGAGATTTCAAATCCAAAAAAAAAATCAGAACACCAGTCGTGCAAAATCTTAAGTATATGTTTCCTTTCTTCAGTTCAGTTAAGTTTATTTTGGTATAGCCCTGTGAGCCATCCGGCTCTTGAATCGGGTGCAACCACAACAAACAAAAACAAACACGAACAAGAAAAACATCTTAAAGTGACTATGTGACTGTGCAAACAGAAAATCCATGGAAAAAAACAGCAAAATATTCCTGAAAAAAGCACCGTACACCAACGCTGTGTGCAAAAAATCCCAGTGGGATGCAAGTCACACAACAACAACAACAACCACAAAAACTTAGATTAAGGCCATCAGTCTAACTCTGTACTACAACAAAACAAACATGTCCAAAGCAAAAAACGTTTTCCAAATCACCAAAAAATAAAGCCATAATTGCAACGTAACAGTGATCACAAGGACTGTGACCGAATTTTTACAATAAACTACATAAATAACATGTAACACCAAACCCTAGAGCCATAGCTGGCTGCATGAGTTACTCCACAACAACAGAAGCGGCTATATCCACGTAAACAGAGATGTATCCTACAGTGAGGGGAAAAAAGTATTTGATCCCCTGCTGATTTTGTACGTTTGCCCACTGACAAAGAAATGATCAGTCTATAATTTTAATGGTAGGTTTATTTGAACAGTGAGAGACAGAATAACATAAAAAAAATCCAGAATTAACCATGTCAAAAATGTTATAAATTGATTTGCATTTTAATGAGGAAAATAAGTATTTGACCTCCTCTCAATCAGAAAGATTTCTGGCTCCAAGGTGTCTTTTATACAGGTAACGAGCTAAGATTAGGAGCACACTCTTATCTCAGCTTGTTACCCGTATAAAAGACACCTGTCCACAGAAACAATCAATCAATCAGATTCCAAACTCTCCACCATGGCCAAGACCAAAGAGCTCTCCAAGGATGTCAGGGACAAGATTGTAGACCTATACAAGGCTGGAATGGGCTACAAGACCATTGCCAAGCAGCTTGGTGAGAAGGTGACAACAGTTGGTGCGATTATTCGCAAATGGAAGAAACACAAATGAACTGTCAATCTCCCTCGGCGTTGGGCTCCATGCAAGATCTCACCTCGTGGAGTTGCAATGATCATGAGAACGGTGAGGAATCAGCCCAGAACTACACGGGAGGATCTTGACAATGATCTCAAGGCAGCTGGGACCATAGTCACCAAGAAAACAATTGGTAACACTACGGCGTGAAGGACTGAAATCCTGCAGCGCCCGCAAGGTCCCCTTGCTCAAGAAAGCACATATACATGCCCGTCTGAAGTTTGCCAATGAACATCTGAATGATTCAGAGGACCACTGGGTGAAAGTGTTGTGGTCAGATGAGATCAAAATGGAGCTCTTTGGTATCAACTCAACTCGCCGTGTTTGAAGGAGGAGGAATGCTCCCTATGACCCCAAGAACACCATCCCCACCGTCAAACATGGAGGTGGAAACATTATGCTTTGGGGGTGTTTTTCTGATAAGGGGACAGGACAACTTCACCGCATTAAAGGGACGATGGACGGGGCTATGTACCGCCAAATCTTGGGTGAGAACCTCCTTACCTCAGCCAGGGCATTGAAAATGGGTCGTAGATGGGTATTCCAGCATGACAATGAGCCAAAACACGCGGCCAAGGCAACAAAGGAGTGGCTCAAGAAGAAGCACATTAAGGTCCTGGAGTGGCCTAGCCAGTCTCCAGACCTTAATCCCATAGATAATCTGTGGAGGGAGCTGAAGATTCGAGTTGCCAAACGTCAGCCTCGAAACCTTAATGATTTGGAGAAGATCTGCAAAGAGGAGTGGGACAAAATCCCTCCTGAGATGTGTGCAAACCTGGTGGCCAACTACAAGAAACGTCTGACCTCTGTGATTGCCAACAAGGGTTTTGCCACCAAGTACTAAGTCATGTTTTGCAAAGGGGTCAAATACTTATTTCCCTCATTAAAATACAAATCAATTTATAACATTTTTGACATGCGTTTTTCTGGATTTTTTTTATTCTGTCTCTCACTGTTCAAATAAACCTACCATTAAATTATAGACTGATCATTTCTTTGTCAGTGGGCAAACGTACAAATTCAGCAGGGGATCAAATGCTTTTTTCCCTCACTGTATACGCATACAGACTGGATAGTATCTGTTAGCGAGCTCCTAATAAACGCCGGCAGGGCACACAAGGGCAATTGTGAAGCCAGAACAACACGCCTGGCCGCCTTTGCCTCACCGGTGATGATGTTCACACAATGAACTAATTTAAGGCTGAGTGG